TTTTTAGATTTTCAGATTTTGACAGAGTATCTTATTTAGTCATCAAGATTCTCTTCGAGGACTCTAATACAATGGTTTGAAGATGGTGTTCATCAAAAGTTAAAAATAGCATTTTAAAACATTTTCTGCCTATCCCATTATCGTCCCCCTTTTCCAAAGCCCATAAAATCCATAGATCCCAATGTTTGTCACTGGAGGACTCCGTTCGGATTGACATCCATCTTTTCAGTATTTGCAAAAGTAGAAGCCCTCTCAGATTACATAGATTCGCGTGGAATCCTCTCAACTTTGTTCAGTTTCGCCTGTATCCAAGCCTTCTCATGATCTTACTCAGAGTACATTACGGTTGTTCTTCGAACAGCTTCACATAACTTACCAAAAGCCTTATCAAATTTCACCGGCATTCTCTATACAAACACTTAGGAGATTCTTCGTCAGATCTACATTCATCATACAGAAAATCATGTATCCTTAAGGTTTCCTAAAAAACAGGGATTAGGTTTGATATTTTGTTGTTCAACGATTCAATATTCTTCTCACAAGATGCAGATAGAATCTTCTCTGATGTTCATATAAATGATCATTCTGCCATAAAGATTCTGAATTCTTGCAATTCTGAATAAAATCCTCAGATCCTTATGTTTTTCTATCAAAAACTTACATGGAATTAGTGTTGCTCTTTCTTGGAGAACCTCCTTACAACAATCTCCAGGTGTTATTTTTATGATCAAAAGGATCTTGGTAAGAACTAGAAGTAACATAGATGTAAGAATCGTTACCAAATCCTTTTTTTCTCATAAGAAACTAGGAAAAGACTTCTGAATTTTTATCTGCGAAACGAGAATTTTCAAAGATGAATGTCATATTTGTAGCGCTTAGTGCCACGAGAGACGAGATCCCTTCGATAACGACGATTTCTTTTTTTTTCGTTCATTGTAGTAATTCCTAATATTCCAGTCGATGCCCGATGGGCACAGAATGCGACGACTGTTGCTGGAGGTCATGGACAAGGCAGTGCTACCAACCAACTCAATCAGCCTTTCGGAATCTTCGTTGATGATGATCAAACGATAGTCATCGCTGACTACTACAATCATCGTATCATCCAATGGAAGATGGGTGATGCGAATGGACAAGTAGTAGCTGGTGGCAATGGCAAAGGAAATCGATTGGATCAATTGTATCGACCAACCGATATGTTGATTGACAAAGAGACGGATAGTCTCATTATTTGTGACCGGGACAATCGACGAGTTGTACGATGGTCTCGTCGCAATGGTACAACACAAGGAGAAATTCTCATCGACAACGTCCGTTGTTTGGGATTGGCCATGGATGATCAGAGATATCTCTACATCTCTGACACCGACAAAGATGAAGTAAAACGATATCAAATAGGAGACAAGAATGGAACTCTTGTGGCTGGTGGCAACGGTAAAGGTGCTGGTCTCAATCAACTCAACCATCCGACCTACATCTTTGTTGATCAACAACAGACTGTCTACGTGTCAGACTACTACAATAATCATGTAACGAAATGGAATAAAGGTGCAAAAGAAGGAATTGTCGTCGCTGGAGGTCAAGGCCAAGGAAATGCTCTGACACAGTTGTATCATCCTCAAGGACTGTTCGTCGATACATTGGGTACCATCTATGTGGCAGACTCGTCAAATAATCGAGTGATGCGTTGGCCTAAAGGAGCGAAACAGGGCACTATCATCGTGGGTGGAAATGGTTACGGAGTAGGAACAAATCAGTTTCGCTATCTCCGAAGTTTGTCCTTCGATCTACATGGCAATCTCTATGTCGCCGATCAGCGGAATAATCGTGTTCAACGCTTTTCAATCGAATAGACTCAAAACGATGAATTATTTTTTTTGCGTTCCTTTCCTTTCAAATAAATCACATTGAATTGATGAAATGAATGTCTATTCTATTCGCGCGACCAGGAACCATCCTGGTGGAGCCTTGGCGAGCGTAACGCTTATGCACGCACAGGACAGACTCATATCATTCATACCCTCCCCGCGAGAGATATGTCAATGAGTCTGAATAAGCCTGGTCGTGTGCCACGGACACCAAGACAGTTTCTGGCCGGGTTTTTAGGGCCTACCCGGAAGGCCTGTAACGAACGGGGACCTAATCTCAATGGACATAACTCATCCCTTCCCTCTACTAACACTCTTTTCTCAGTCACTCTATCCCTCTCCTCAATCTCAATATTACACTATCTAACCTCATCCACCTCTCCCTTATTCTCATCTCAAAAGAAAAAAACATTATTCACCCTGTTTTGATGTTGATTACGACGCGATGATATTGAGTACTAGAAAGAAAAAGAAAAAAAATTAATTTAATGTTATATAATGAAAAAAAAAAGAATGAGTTAACTTACCCCACTGTTATCTTGTCACAGCTGAAAATATTCATCGAACCTAAGACAAAAGAAAAAAAAATAAATTAAAAAGATTATAGGAGGTCTTACTTCACCATCCTTATAATCGTTAAATAAAAAAAAAATTAAAAAAATCAAAACTGATACCTACATTTTTTTTTATCGTATGGCTTGATCTTGGTTTGATTAATTTTGTATCATCGAGGCCAACCTAAAACAGAAAAAGAACAATGATTTATGGACGAGAGAAAGACAAAAAAAAAAAGAAAATTCCTCTCTTCACATATATTTCTTTTTTCTTTCCTTTCTCTCTTGTTAACATTAACATATATAATGATTTATTTATGAATTTTTTCAGATAGTATCTCATTTGGAATGAAAATGAAATTGTTTTGTTTATTTTTATTAATGGTACTCAATAATAACATTTATGTATAATTATTTTTTATTATTTTATTTGTTATGATAAAATACCAAATATATTACATCAGACGAACTATTACTTAAGTAGAATATATTTTAGTTAAAACAATTGCTTTTTTCGTTAACATACTTAATGTTAAAAAAGTTGATTCAATTTCATAGACTGTCGAAAAAAACAAAACAATGGAAGTTT